TGGCTGTATTTATTGTGTCTCTCTGCATTGTGTCCCCAGTAGAAAGACATCATACTTTCCTTTGCCTGTCCATTGTCTCAGGAAGACCTTATTTTATTTATCCTTTATTCTGTATCCTGTGCTCACTTAGGATGCATCAAGCTTGTGGACAAATGTTTGATCCAATCACGGCAAAAATGAAACCTCTTTGGATCTTGCTTTTCATTTTTGCTGTTGCTTCCCTCTACTATTACACATTTGTTACAGCCATCACTGACTGTTCACTGGAAATGATTCTGCTTGGGTGTTTTACTTTTCAAACTTTTCCTTTCCTTTCTCAGCTTTGATATCTTTTCTGTTTCAGGTCTGGATTTACTATAGCTGAAATTGAGCCAATGGGGATATTCCAGTTTGCTCCTAACTCAAGATCTATTTCAGTTGAAGAAGATGTTCAGACAGTCACACTACATGTCCAAAGACTGTTTGGTTTTCAAAGTAATCTCACTAAATTGACATATCAGACTGTTCCAGGAAGTGCCAAACCACTAGAGGACTTTATACCCATCTACAATGGAGAGCTTATGATTTTACACTTTCAGAAAACTGCTGTGATAGAAGTATCAGTAATAGATGACACTGTCTCTGAAATGGAGGAATTTTTTTTTGTAAATTTGACTGCTGTGGAAATTTTGGATGTTCCACCTGTTAATCCTGACTGGAGTCCACGTTTGAATCCAGCTTTCAGTGTTGCAACAATTAATATCCTGGCTAATGATATTCTTCATGGAATACTAAGTTTGGGGCCAGAGTTTACTTATGTTGAAGAAGATGCAAACAACAGTAGCCCCAACACAGTGGTACTTCATATCAGAAGGACCAAGGGGTTTACTGGTGATATTGAAGTAACTGTTAAAACCTTTGGGGGAGTTAGTGCACAGAGTGGAATAGATTCATATCCTTTTGGAAATGCTTGGAAATCAAACTTCACCTGGGCAATGGAAGGAGAAGATTTTGAAGAACAGTCAGTCTCTTTGACTTTGCTGGATGGAGAAAGAGAAAGCAATGTGTCCATTAAAATTTTTGATGATGATGAGCCTGAAGGACAGGAATTGTTTTATGTTTTCCTCTCAGATCCTGAATGTGGAGCTCAGATTGTGGAAGGAAAGGATGAATATGGATTTGCTGCTTTTGCAACAGTGATTATTGCAGGTAATATTTTCTTCCCCCAGAAAAGTAGTAAGTACAGCTGAGTTAAATAACAGTAAATAACTGTATGTTCTAATACCAATTTTCATGTAAAGATTGGGATTCTATTTGATGATAAGCAGGGTTTTCTATTTCCAAATCTTGAGTTCCAGATCAGAGGGAGGAAGCATCTAATGTACGAAGCCCATTGAATCCCTTAGCAATGTAGCTCAACATGTATTTATAGATGCTGCTTATCTCTGTTCTAGTCCTGCTTTACTTCAGGAAGGCAAAGGCTAAACTTGAGTGTTTTTTCTTATAGATGTAAGCCTTGCAGTTCTTTTTTTTGTTTGTTTGTTTCTTTTTTGTTGTTGTTGTTTTTGTTTGTGTGTGTGTTCTCTTTGCCATTTCTTTGCCATTGAGGTTGGACCAGAAGATATCCAGAGGTCCCTTCCAACTCTAACGATTCCATGAGCTTTTCACTTTTATGTTGTATGGGGTTTGTACGAAGTATAAGAAGCAGTTTCTGGTTTTGTTCTTTGATACTATGCAGTTCATATATGCAGTGTAGTCCTCTGATTCTAAGGATGGAGGGTAGGAATGGACCATAGACTCAGGTGAGAATTTTTCTTTCAGTCACTGCATGCTACTGAGAGAAAGTGATGTCCGATCTCCAGCTTCACTTATCTTTTAGATATCCATCAGACTTATCAACTGAATATAAAACAAGTTTAACCACAATATAGCTCAAGTTTTAGAAACAAGTTGGAAATTGGAACAGTTCAGGCTAATCAAGAAAGTCACATGTAAGGTCCAACATTTACTGATGTTTTGTGTATTTAGGTAATTTTAACAAAACAAGGTAGGTATTGACAACCAAGATGAAACTGTGCTGCTGGATGAGTGTATGCAGCAACCAAGACTGTGTGCAAAACCAAACTGTATAAAACAAGTTCCCTTCACGTGCACCATCTCTAGAATTCACCATGCAAGTAATCAGTGTCTTGTACGTGCAAGTTAACCAAAGAAGTATGTGCATGGGTACAGGTTGGAATTTGAACTTGCGTTGAATCCCATAGAAGTGTATTAACATCCTCTAGATTTACACCCTGAGCACAATAAGCACATAAAGTAAGACTGGGAGACAACTTATATTAAGCACAAAGGTCAAAGCATGTATCTGCATTTTACTGCATAGAGAGAAAGATAGCATAGGCTGAATATTTGTGCATCCATATAAGCAAACATGCAGTTTCTGTTAATCTTCAGTGTATATATTGACATTTAATAATCACTGGGTCAGATGTAGATTGCCTTTTCAATTACAGAGTAAAGCCATCACTACCTGTAAGGAGAAATCCTCTACAAACAAGATTTAATGGAACACTGTGCAGACATTAGTTTCTCCTCATTAACCCTGTTTTTTTTTTTTTATTTCTACTGCTGTTTTGCTGAAGTTATTCACATTCCCATGAGGACAGTGAAGTATTTTGCAGCTCCCTAGTTTCACACACTGAATTAAAGATGCAGGAGAAAAGCTGATGTAACAATCTGGGAAAATAAATTAGGGGTGGGATCAGTAGGAAAGCTGAGGTCATATCCTTGAAAGCCCATCTTTACCCCATAACCTGTTATGTCAATGCTGTCCATCTAGGGGCATGCTGAGGCCCATTCTTGTTTAGAAAGAATATGTTTTAAGGGTTATCATAGAATCACAGCTCATTCAGTTCCACCTCCACCTTCCACTAGACCAGGTTGCTCCAAGCCCTGTCCAACCTGCCAGGGATGGGGCAGCTACAGCTTCTCTGGGCAACCTGCGCCAGCGCCTCACCACTATTGCAGGGGAGAACTTCTTGCTATGATCTGATACGTAAATCTACCCTCTGTCATTAATGCCATTCTCCCTTGTACTAAGCATAATAGAGCAAATGTAAAATAATCTGGCTGAAGTTGCATCTCATTAGGGCATTACAAGCAAGACTTCTGACACTTTTCTGGACCACTGTAACACCTAGTCTCTTGAAGTCAAGGGATAAAGAATTCAGTCAGTTTCCTAAATGCTTCCAAAAATACAAGGTTATGTGCATATATCGTGCCAGCACTCTCATGAAGAATTTACTTTTAATAACACTTATTCTCCTGGTTAGAATAAAATTTAGAAATGACAACATTTGGAGTTTTAGGTAAATATGAACTGTAAATTAAGAATAAAAATATTAAAAAAATGTGCTTGAGGCATTCCCAAGTGGTACTTTGCAGCATGCTTTTGATACTTGGCTGTTTTGGTTGGGGTTTTTTTTTTGCAGTTATCCATTTTAAAATCATAATTTAGTCTCCACTTAACTTTCTTGCTAACTACCTTCATGGTCTGTTTCCTATATAGGAAGTGATCTCCAGAATGGCATTTTGGGATTCATGCCAGAGGTACAAAGTGGTCTTGTACTTGATGAAGACTCAGAAAACAGAGAGGTGCTGCTGATTGTCACAAGGCAACCAAACAGGTACAGGCAAAAGCTGATTCAAGTGCTCTTCCACACTCTGTAATATGCTGCTGTTAGTGGAAGAGGTTATATAAGATTTTATAAAAATTCTTTGCCTTTCACCTCCTTTAATAACTTCCCAGAATTTGGCAAATAGGCTTTTTAAGTTGTGAATGTGATTAGGTCTGTCACTTACTGGTATAAAACAAAAATGGAAAAAAACCCAAATATTTTCCAATTTACACCATGAGACAGCAAATGTGAAGACTTTGCTTATGATAAAGTATTTGCATTGCTAAAGGCATCAGATTCTCATATCCCTCTGTAATAGAAGCAGGTATGAATGCTAAAATGAGCAATTAAAAGTCAGTACTATACTTAGGTTTTCACTCACACAGATCCTATGTTTTCTTCTAATTAACATATGTATGTTGCATATTTATGTTCTTTAAACAGATATGCTCAAATACTCTAAGTTCCTGAAGCTTTAGGAAAGACAAATTCTTCCTGTCTTTCTAGGCACATGGTTACACCAGTGTCTTTTATTCAGCTAATTTAGTTTTTCTGGAACAAGAATTGAGAAGGATCTGGGTGCCTGTAATTGCTATATTTTCTTCCTCTGTTACTTTCTGGCAGTTGAAACATTTTAGAGGAAGGAATTTAAATAAAAAGAGAGACATTTTCATCTTAAAGCAGTTTCTTCCCTAGTGATAAGTTCTGAATAATAACGTGTGTTACCTCTGTGGTTTATGTTTCCTTCTTCAGTACATGTATACTCTTTTGATTTGCTTATAGAGCTTTTGAAGATGTGAAGATCTTTTGGCGTGTGACATTTAATAAATCAGCTGTTGTCCTTCTGAAGGATGGAATGAACTTGGAGAACGAGCTTGTATCTGTGCTGGGAGCCACTACCTGCATGGCAGGACAAACAATGTGCAACATCTCCATTCAAATAAAACCTGATAATGTAAGTAACAATTGCTCATTTACGTACAGTACTATGATGCTGAACTGCAATTTATCAAGGTGAAAAATCTCCTCTGATTCAGAGGAGCTGGTGTGCTGTCTGAAGATGGTAACCTGATGTCTGCAAACACATTTTCTTCTGCAAACATGTTTATTTACAGGCTTGTACTACCATTATTATGACAGGTAAAAAATTTGGAAGGAGATGAGTATTTAGTTCAAAGAGTAAACTGCAGATCTCAAGAGTTTTATAGAATAGTGAAAGAAAAAAGGAGTTAGCGAGTTACATATTCAAGTACTGGACTCTCACCCTTCACTCAGCAAATCTTTCATCTATGAAAATACTTCTTAGTTTGACTTATGGAAAACACATCCTGTAAGTATAACATCTCATTCAACAAAAAAACTTTTATTGCAACTTGTGCATGATTTTACATGCCTAAATCTAGCACAGTGATCTGTGAAAACTGTACTCAATCATAAAGCTGCATAAAAATCTGTCACCATGCACATCCAGCTTGTGAGCAGTGAAGTTCGATTTAGCAGCCACCATCCACTAAAGCTGTCTGACATTTGTCAGTCAGGTATGCCTAAGCCTAAAGTCTTGAGAGGCCCAGATGGCACTCAGAAATGCAGACATCATTGAATTAACATAAAGCACAGCATTCAGTCATTTTTACTGAAAAGAGAAGGAAAAAAAATATTTTTGTGTGAACACCCAGTGGTTAGGGCAGTCCCTTAAGAAAGGAAGGATTAACGCTTGCCATTCTTTCAGAGTGGAGAGACTGAAACTTTCCAAGAAATTATCTTAACAGCCACAGGCTAGCGGCAAAGGTGAAGTCTGGGGAATAGAAAAGGACAAGATCCTGATTGCATTATAGAAATAATGCAAGATGTAGGATGTGGGAAATAGTGATATCCAACTAGAGAATAGGGTGCATTCTCTGAATCCAGTAAGAGGGCCATCTTCCCTCTTCATCTCCAAATGTTATTTTTACATTACAGAGTTTATGAATAAAATATATAGATGATGAGACATCAGCTGCCTCTCTGGCTAAACTGGGATTTCAAAGCATTTAGTCCAAGGGAGTGGAATCATTATTTAATGACAGCAGTGCAGCAGCTGCAGAGACATTCAGTTGTGTCACATGATGCACAAGCATGTGCCACTCTAATAGGTGCCAATGGAAGGCTTAAGTTCCCTGTGGCATTCAAGTAAATTTGCTCCTGTCATCAATTAGTCAAGATAATTCCATTTAGAGAATTTCTTAACAACAACTCAATTAAAAATGTATGCTATATAACACACCAAATATTTACTAATTTTTCTTCTAGTTCTTTCATAAGATAGCTTATAAATCAGTAGCAAATACACTATAAAATTATGAAGTCATAAATATTCAATAAATATTTTATGGCTTTATGGTATATTCTAGCTTTTACCTAGAAAGTTTTTGCTTGGTCAGCTGTACTGACTTTATTAGCTAAGAGCTAAATCCTGCTTACCTAGAATTACAGCAAGCTTTCCAAAAATCCAGAGCTAAAACAAAGTTGTCTTCACTGATAATTTTTTTTTTGTAATGCTATTGTCTTTTGAAGAAATAAATTTTGGCAAGTTTGCTGCTTCATGTCTGCATGTAATAGGTACAGATAACACATTTTCAATGATTTCTGGAATCTTAGTAATCACAAGACTATTTCTAAACATGTTTGCATTTTAGGTACAAAATCAAGGATGAAGTAGAATGTCATGTTGTAATTTAATACTGCTACCATATTTTCAGCAAACAAGCATTATGAATGCAGGATTGACTAGGCTCATTCTTTTACTTATGAACACTAGAATTCAATACCTTGTTTTCCAAACCATCAGATCATAGTTCTAAGCTTTATGATTTTCAATAAATTCAATTACACATTCAAGTCTACTGAGGTTTGCTTGAAAAAACATGCATAAACATATTAGTGTTTAAACACTAAGGCTGTATGTAAAATCATAAAGTTTTCAGAACTTTACTTGAGTTCAGTACTTGAACAGTCAAGTTAATTAGTTTCAAAACTGCACATTTAGACTTCTGTGCTGTTTTTCCATGGGTGAGTAGATGCATACATGCCTTTTTGTAATGCAAAAAGAAAACGAAAGAGAAAAATCTTCACAAGATGTACATCTACTGGAATATGGAGCTATTTGAGAGTTTACTGTTATGTGTTATGCCTGACTTACAGCCACAATACATGTAGTATATAAATAGCTACTTTACTGCAATTAAGTTCCATGTGAAAACCTGAGATTTCATTATTGTACATGAAGAGTGTTGCCCATTGCAATATTATTTTGAGATATATATTTATTGTACTTACTGCACATTTCAGGAAGCAGGCTTGTGGTGTTAGTACAAGTAATCCATTGTGCATAAAAAACAATATATACATTTTTTGAAGCTGAAAGTAGTTAGTAGGTCTTATAATGATATGAAAATCATTACACCTCACTTACAGGTTCCTGAATTTGAAGCATATTTTTTTGTTGAACTGTATGCTGTGAGCACAGGAGCCGCATTGAACAGCAGCACCAGATTTGCTTTTGTAAAAGTTCTGGAAAGTGATGCTCCTCATGGTTTAATATATTTTGCTGTGGGATCTCGTTTTGCTGTGGCTTATAGGAAGACAACTTTAATCAGTCTGCAAGCGCTTAGAGATTCTAGTACATCAGTAACCACAATGGTTAGCTACAGCATGCAGGTAAGACTTTTATTATTATTATTTAACTTATTATTTGTATCATTAAATCATTGTTCGTTCTCTAAAGTAAATGTTATTATAATTAGCTTTTTTTTTCAGGAAATAGTCAAACATTTGCTGGGCCTAGATGGTCTAGCTTCCTTGGATTTTCATTAGTAAAAAGACCTTGTTCTCACTGCATTCTCAAGAGAGATTTTATCAAAACTACCCTTCCAGGAGTCTCAAAGGCCATGGTCAGTCAGGCATTAAATACATTTCTTTGTTGTAAGGTTCTTCTAAGATGCCAATTATTTTAAGGCTTCTTTCTCTGAAGTTAACTTTTACCATGATGGGTATGACTGCAAGATTCGTATATCAACACACTGTCTGTGTTTGGTCACAAATTTATTAATGCTCAGAGCACACTTAAGAACAAAGACTCTTTCATCAAATTTTATCCCATGTTCTTGAAGTACTAAACTGATTGAAAACGCAGTGTGGTAGAGTCAATTTTATCATCCCCATTCAATTCTGTTATGTTTACAGCTGTATCACCAGATGCTAACTGCTGAAACTTTTTATCTCTAAACAAGTACCTCATAATTACTGACCAATGATGAAGATTCTCCTTTAGCTGAAATAACACAGCTGCAAAAACATGATTCCTTCCACTTCCTTACAGCAGTGAATCCAGCCTCAAGGGCTTGGGCACTGGCTGCAAGATGGATTCCTCCAAGTTTGCTATCACACTGGAATAGTGCTTAGATTGATCTATGTGTGATTTTATAGAATCATAGAATAGTCAGGGTTGGAAAGGACTTAAGATCACCTAGTTCCAACCCCCCTGCCATGGGCAGGGACACCTCACACTAAACCATGTCACTCAAGGCTCTGTCCAGCCTGGCCCTGAACACCGCCAGGGATGGAGCATTCACAACTTTCTTGGACAACCCATTCCAGTGCCTCACCATGCTCACAGTAAGGAACTTCTTCCTTATATCCAATGTAAACTTCCCCTGTTTAAGTTTTTACCCATTACCCCTTGCCCTGTCACTTCAGTCCCTAATGAAGAGTCCCTCACCCGCATCCTTATAGGCCCTCTCCAGATACTGGAAGGTTGCTATGAGGTCTCCACGCAGCCTTCCCTTTCTCCAGGCTGAACAGCCCCAACATTTTCAGCCTATCTTCATAGGGGAGGAGCTCCAGTCCCCTGATCATCCTCGTGGCCCTTCTCTGGACTTGTTCCAACAGTTCCATGTCCTTTTTATGTTGAGGACACCAGAACTGCACACAATACTCCAAGTGAGGTCTTACAAGAGCAGAGCAGAGGGGCAGGATCACCTCCTTCGACCTGCTGGTCATGCTTCTTTTGATGCAGCCCAGGGTATGGTTGGCTTTCTGGGCTGCAAGTGCACACTAACGGCCCATGTTCATTTTCTCATCAACCAGCACCTCCAAGTCCTTCTCCGCAGGGCTGCTCTGAATCTCTTCTCTGCCCAGCCTTAGCTGTGCCTGGGATTGCTCCGACCCAGGTGTAGGACCTTGCACTTGTCATGGTTAAACTTCATAAGGGTGGCATCAGCCCACCTCACAAGCGCGTCAGGGTCCCTCTGGATGGCATTCCTTCCCTCCAGCATATCAACCGAACCACACAGCTTGGTGTCATTGGCAAACTTGCTGAGGGCGCATGCAATCCCATTGTCCATGTCACTGACAAAGATGTTGAACAAGACCGATCCCAACACCGGTCCCGACACTAGTCCCTGAGGGACACCACTTGTTACTGGTCTCCAGTTGGACATTGAGACATTGACCACAACTCTTTGCATGCGGCCATCCAGCCAGTTCTTTATCCACCAAGTGGTCCACCTTTCAAATTGATGTCTCTCCAATTTAGAGACAAGGATGTTGTGTGGGACAGCACTGAAAGCTTTGCACAAGTCCAGGTAGATGACATCAACTCTCTGCCTTGTCCATCAGTTCTGTAGCCCCATGATAGAAGGCCACCAAATTGGTCAGGCAGGATTTCCCCTTAGTGAAGCCATGCTGGCTGTCACCAAGCACCTTGTTGTTGTTCATGTGCCTTAGCATGCCTTCCAGGAGAATCTGCTCCAAGATTTTGCCAGGCACAGAGATGAAACTGACTGGTCTGTAATTCCCCGGGTCATCCATTTTCCCCTTCTTGAAAATGGGGGTTATATTTCCCTTTTTCCAGTCGTTGGGAACTTCACCTGACTGCCATGATTTTTCAAATATGATGGACAGTGGCTGAGCAACTTCATTTGCCAGCTCCTTCAGGACCTGTGGATGGATTTCATCAGGTCCCATGGACTTGTGCACATTCAGATTAAGATGGTCTTGAACCAGATCCTCTCCTACAGTGGGCGCAAGGTCTTCATTCTCACAGTCCCTGCATCTGCCTTCCAAGACTTGGGCACTGTGGTTAGGGCATTTCTCAGTGGAGATGGAGGCAAAGAAGTCATTAAGGACTTCAGCCTTCTCCAAATCCAGTGTAGCCAGTTCTCCTGATAGCTTCTGGAGAGGGCTCATGTTGTCCCTAGTCTGTATTTTATTTGCAATGTCCCCATAGAATCCCTTCGTGTTATTTTTCATATTCCTTGCTAGATTTAGTTTTAACTGGGCCTTAGCTTTCCTAACCTGGTCCCTAGCTTCTCGGACAACATCCCTGTACTCTTCCCAGGCCGCCTGTCCTTGCTTCCACTTTTTATAAGCCTCTTCTTTCATTTGAATTTTCCTCAGCAGCTCCTTATCCATCCCAGGAGGTCTCCTGGCCCTCCTGCTGCACTTCCTTCTAGTTGGGACATAACACTCCTGAGCTTGTAGCAGGTGATCCTCAAATATCAACTGACAGTCTTGGGCTCCCCTGCCCTCTAGGGCCATATCCCATGGAACCTTACTCAGCAGCTTCCTGAAGAGGCCAAAGTCTGCTCTCTTGAAGTCCAGGGCAGTGAGCTTGCTGCACTCTCTTCTCACTGTCCTGAGGTTCTTGAACTTGACCACCTCATGATCACTGCAATCAAGGCTGCCCTGGACCGTTGTTTCCAACCAGCTGTTCCCTGTTGGTGAGCACGAGGTCAAGCATGGCACTTCTCCTTGTCGGCTCCTCTATTACTTGCAGAAGGAAGTTGTCTTCCACACAATTGGGGAACCTCCTGGATTGCTTGTGCCGGGCCGTACCGTCCTTCCAACACATGTCAGGGTGGTTGAAGTCACCCATAAGAACAAGGGCCTGCGAGCGTGAGTCTGTTCCTATCTGTCTATAGAGTGCTTCATCCACAGAGTCCTCTTGATCAGGCGGTCTGTAACAGATCCCCACTGTAATGTGCCCCATAGCTGTTCTCCTTTTAACCCTGACCCACAAGTTCTCTATTAACTGCTCACCTGTCCCCAGAGTTCCATGCTCTCCAGCCTATCCCTAACATAAAGGGCAACTCCCCCTCCCCACCTGCCAGGCCTGTCTCTTCTAAAGAGCCTGTAACCTTCCATTCCAACACTCCAGTCATAGGAGCCATCCCACCATGTTTCTGTGATGCCTGTTATATCATACCGCTGTAGACGTGCACACATCTCTAATTCCTCTTGTTTGCTCCCCATGCTACGGGCATTTGTATAGAGGCATCTGAGCTGAGCTCCAAAGGAAGCCGGCTCATTGGCTGGAGCGCCTGGAATATATCTACATTGCACTGAGCATTTATTATAGGTGCTGGTAACTGACTGGATGTGTTGGGATGGAATAATGCCCCCCTCCCCCAACACATCAAGTTTAAAGCCTCCTTGACCAGTCTGGCAAGCCTCCTACCAAAACTGCTTTCCCTTCTTTAGAGCAGCTCCACCAGCCCCCACTAGACCTGGCCTACAAGCTTGGGTCCCGTGTTCAAGACACCCAAGCCCCTGACTATGGCACCACTATTCTAACCATTTATTAACCTAGCCAATCCGCCTAGCCTTTTTAGGGTCCTCCCCTGTATCCTGGAGAGCTGACGAAAAGACTATCTGAGCTCCAGAGCCCCTAACCACCTCCCCCAGGGCTCTGTAGTCCTTCTTACTGTTCTCCAGGCTACTGCTATCTATATCCCTAGCATCCACATGTATCACCAGAAGTGGGTAATAGTCTGTGGGACTTACTAGAGCAGGCAGCCTCTCTGCAACATCCCTGATCTGAGCCCCTGGTAGGCAACACACCTCCCTTGGGACTGGGTCAGGCCGACAGATGAGTGCCTCTGTGCCTTTCAAAGTAGAGTCCCCTACTACTGTGACCCTCTGCTTTTTCCTGGCAGCACCAGTAGTGATCTTCTTTAGCAGTGCATCAGCCGGTTGCTCATGGTGCGAGTGTGTTTCATCATCAGCCCCCTGCAGGACAGGAAAGCTGTTCTGCGTGGGGACAACAGATTTAGGAGGAAGCCCTTTGCTTTTCATTGTCCTCTTCCTCGTATTTTTGTTATTTTTTGTTACTGTTTCCCATCTTCCCGGGTTAACAGACTCCATCTTTCTCCATGAACTCCAGGGTACACTTGAGGCCCCTGCACAGTTTGGCCCTGGAGCAAGCATCCCTGCTTCCTCTCAGCTTCCCTGACATCTCGCAGTCTATTAACGGCACCCTGCAGCTCAGCCACCTGCTGCAGGAAGACCTCCACCAGGGAGCACCGAGTGCAGCCCTGCCCATTGTGCACCCTCCCCTCACCAGACCAGTGCAGGCACTCTCTACACTCTGAGCTCTGCCCTGCCCTGCAGCCTCCCCTCTCACCGGCTCTGTCTGGGTGCCTACGCTGGCCACCGCCGGGGCAGCCAGAGCAGAGCTCCCAGACCAGGCCCTGGTCACACATCGAGTGCTCACCATCCTGCTTACCTACCTGCGCAAACTGCCTCGACCCGCTCTGCTCGCCGCGCTCCCTGGGCAGGTTTTTAACCAGTCAAGGCTGGTGCCGCCCCTCCTGGTTCCGCCCGCTGTGAGTCCCTGCTCGCTTAAGCTGAGCTGCCGGCTCCTGGGCAGGTCCTGTCGAGGACTTGAGGCTCCCTCGGTGGCTCTCACTGCTCTGAGTTGAGGCTCCTGGACGCTGAGCTTCCCCCGCTCAGGTGTTGAAGGCGTCCTCTCTCGAGCTGCTCACCTCAGGAATTCAATTAGACCTAAAAGCATTATTTATGGGGAGGGTTTTTATAGCAAAGCGTTGTTGCGCCCAGTGTGCTGAGCCTTTATTTCATGCGGTTTTGCATTCTATTGTTATATTGCATACATACCTGTTTTCACTACACAGACTTGCATGGTGTTTCCATGCATTTATTCTTCAGTAGCTTGCCAGTGTTTTAGTTGGATTGTATAGTAACAAATGTTTACATTGTTTCCAGCTAACAGTTCATTATAATTTAAGTGGAGAAGAAATTGCTAGTGTCCAGTGTACATTTAGGCTAAAGTTGGACAGTTTTAGGTTTCAAGGGTTAGTGGCCAAGTACCAAAGTATTGGTACATGTAAAATAAGAGGTCACAGCAGACAGGAAGCATGAGGGCTAACTAGAAACAGATGTTTAGATCGTTCCGACGAAGGTTTATTCAACATTGTTCTTGTCACTACTTCTGTTATTGTCACTTATTTTCCTGTTTCTTGATTATAAATTGGAAGGGATAAACTTCTCACTGGAACTGGCATAGAAGATGTGATCATGTGCTAGGGCAATTTTAAACAGACACACACTGCATTGGTTTACCAAGTTCTCCTGTGAACTCATAAATGTCTGATTTATTCCATA